GCTTGAAAAGATTCCCTTAATTCTGCAAATTCTTCTTTGGGAATTCTTGAAGAGCAACCACAATTACAACCTTTTTCTAAAAAATCAATTGCCTTTTCATATTCATTAGAACCATTATATTTATTACTTTTGTTAATACTTTTCATATACACTTATCCCTATATATATAATTTTATGTTCACTTTGTAGTTTTTTTATTAATATTTTCAGTTGAAATCTTTTTAGCATTGCCATTAACAATGGTGTCATCTAACAAATCCCCTTGATAAAAATCATTATAATCAACACCTTTTAGAATCTTCCACTACTTTTACTTCTTGTTGTTGCTAATAGAGAATTGATGTAAAAATATACACTATCATCCAAACTGAAAATGTTCCAAGTAGTGTTGTCTTTCAAAACTCTTTGAAACTAGTTTGGAAGTTTAGAAATGATTTAGGAAATGGATCAGAGTTTCAAAAGACAGCCCTAGTTCCAGGGGAAGATAATTAACAAAAAAATCAAAGTTTATTTTATCCTTGTTGGGCTTGGATCAATCATGTTTAATATTACATCAACAAAGATTTGCAACATCAAAATAAACTATTTTTTATATACTTAAATATTTAACAACTTTATTGTAATTGATTAAATATTATTGTTATACATATGTTTTATTTTATTTAAGTTTAATCCATTATATTATAATTACTGTTAAATGTTTTATATCATTCACCAGGTCTGTAGTTATATGAAAATGATTCTTGTAAAAAGTTCATTGAATAAATCATCAGTGAAATACCTACACTGTTAATTGTTGAGAAATGAATATGGAATGTATGAGCACTGCTCCAGTTCTTTTTTGAACTTTTTGAAAATTCTCACCATTTTTTTTGATGACATCTTCAACACCATAGTAAGGTCTCTTTTGGAATATTGAACTAGACATAGTTGTTCCGATCCCTTTTATCAGGTTGGAAATCTGTTGTGGTTTTGCAAAGTTAAGGTTAAGTTTGCCCATTATATTGAAGGCTAGCCGTGAAGAAAACACAGGACCAAAACACTGTTCAAAGTTATCTCTTGCAATTATTAGACAATCATTTGGAAGCTTCTTAACATCCTCTTTGTTAAAATGTTGTGATGTGAAAATAATGGTAATGATGTGATAATCTTTCAGGTTTTTTATTGTGGATTTGGCAATAGCAGCACTATTTTTTTTGCATTCATTTTCTATGTCCATTATGGTAATAGGATCAGAGAAATTATGCCACTTTTCCTGTAAACCCATAATAATTTTTTGGGATTTGGATGTTTGTTGCACTAAAAAGATATCAGCAAATGGAGCTGCCTTCCCATTGATAAATAATATATCATTGGATTCAAAAGACATTTCAAAATTGTCTGAGCTTCTTATTGGTTGACCACTTTTGGGAAATTGATTTTTTGCTATACAAATATTGTTTAATTTTTCAAGTTTGATCTGGATATCCAGAATATCATCTCTACCAATTCCTCCACAATAGTAATCACGCAATTTGATTTCTTTTGTGCCCATGTCAACAAGTAGGTTGTTATGAATTACTTCAAATTGAGCAACAAAATTCTCCCATTCTTCCCAATACATATCTGAGTTAGGTTGAAATTTTTTATGTAGGATGGCAGGTGCAATATTTAATTCCATGTTGTAAAGATAAAAAAAATAGAATGGCATTTCAATAAGGTAGTCAAGATCACTGTGAGGTTTGAGAATTAAATAACCATCACGTTCCATCTTCTCCACAGTTAACTGTGGTGTGTTTATATCCAAATTCTTGTTAAATTGTGTTGGAATTGCACCAATGCAATGGTACAAGATCTGGAGACTAACTTTAAGGTTTTTTCGAACATAGCTTCTGATATTATACTTTTGGTTGAGTGTATTTACAATTTCAGCAAACAGGCTATCAAAGAAAGTAAATTTTCCATTCTGCAGTTCATTAAAAAAGTTATGAATAGCAAGAGATTTCTCAATAACATACTGTAATGCTCGTGGAAGTCCACCAGTGTCATACAAAAGCTGCAGAAATGGGGTGCTAGCCATCCAGTGTTGTTGTCGATCACCATTTTTGTTGGCAAAGTAATCAAAAATGTTGAGGATTGCTGTAATTGTTAACATGGGACATTTTACAAATGCAAATGAATAGCTGGTTGGTTCTTTTTCTCTTGTAACATCTTGTGGTGCTGTCCCAGACAGAAATGTTTGAACATAATAATCCAAGCGTTTTTCTGTCATCAAAGGACCAAGAACATACATCAATTCTTTGAAAAGTCCCTTCGAACTGGGTATCTTCCAAAAGTTATTATTCTCAAAATCAAAAATTTCTTGATATTCATCAATATGAAGAAGTATGAAAAGTTGTTGATTGGATTGAAGATTTAAAGAATTTCGAATCCTATCAAGTACTAAATTGACATTAAAAGCATTAATATGTGGTTGCGCAGCATACTTAAAGGTGTCAAATGATAATTTATCTCGTGCAAAGAAATAATAGGCAATACAAAGGCCAATAATAATTGATCCAGAAAGATTTTGATCGAAATCAGTTAAGTGTACACCATTGACAAAATCAAGAAGCATGTAGAGAAAGTGTGTATGACTCCATTCTATTGGGGGGTTTCCAACTATTTTTAAGAGAGTAAAACAATTCCAACCCCCAACGAGTTTTACCTGATACATGTGGAGTTAATGGTTAACAATTTTGTAAAATCATCACAAGTAAATAAATAAATAAAGTATGTATATACCTATCCCAGCTGCACCACCACAGACAAGGAAATTATAATCTGTTTTTGAGGAAGAAGAATCCAGGGACATATTAATATTATCTGTGACTAATTTTAATGCTCCAGATGTGTCTCATTCTTTCAATGGCATAAGCAAGCTAGGTTCCCTTCTTGATACTGATACTTTGGTTTCCACATTCTCTAAGATAATTTCTAAGATGCTCTTGAGTGATTTTTCTAGCAGAAGCAAGAAAGAAAAGCACAAGAATAATAATTAGCAAATGTGTTATAAATAAAAGAATGAGATAACTGAAAACTCCCTTTGTTTCAGAGCTAAAACACACTGGTAGATACATACCTTATTAAAAGAAATGTTCAGGGATATAAGTACGAAATTGAGATAATGAATAATAAATAAAACGAAATGGAATGAACAAAAAATATTTTTTTGTATATTTTTTACGCAATTTGTTCATTACCTTCCCTTTTATAACTCTCCAACTTTCTTTTTAATTCCTCTACTTCTAACTCCAATTTCTTCTCTCTCCAACTCTAAAGAGGATGATTGTTTGTGCAGAAAATAATTGTATATAAAAATTATTTTATGTTGAATTAGTGTTTACAATATTGAATACTAAATAATAATTTATTGAAATAAATACTTTTTCATTTTCTTTATCATCATCATTTACACTAATAAAAAAAAAAGTTTATAATTAACTAGAGTGACGACAAGTGGTGGGCGATAACCCACCACCATCCTTAAAACACTTACCCAGCAATTCCACCAGTATTATTTTTTTTGCTTCTTATTCTGGAATCCTATTGGTTTTTTTGGTAGGACAGACTCGAATTGATTTTTTTTTTTTTTTTTTTGGAAAAACAATTTATTTTTTGACAGAGTCCAAAATGACAAAACGTGAGTGTTGTTGTTTGGTTTGGCTTGGGTCTCCTAAAGAAGAAGTGTTAATAACTAACCAGATATAATGTGGTGTACTTTTATTTTATAAATATTTTAATTGAAATCAAAATGCAGAGCAGAACTTGCTGGGTAATTACAAGGTTTTCATTGATAATATTTTGCTTTGCATAATCGTAATCAATATTAATAATAATATTAATATTACTATATAATCACAAGAAGATGTCAAGGCAGCACACCGTTGAAAAAGAGACAATTCACATTTTGAATATGTGACGTTTGATTATTGAAAATTTACAGATGTTGAAGCACACATGCTACCTTGAACACTTTACAGTCATTCTCTCATCTTCCTCATGTACATAAGGCTAATCTGACCAAGATTTCTATGATGATACAATGATGCAACAGAACTCCAGGGGGGGACAACATGGCCCTGGAGTTTACTGAGGCTGCATCAATTGTCAATGACACTTTCACTAATCCTCCCAGACCAGAGATGGCTGCTGGCATGCTAGCCGAAAAGTTTCCTGCAACAATCCCACCTCTAGGGCAAGGATGGCACTGTGACCAAGCTATCACAACTCTGCTAATGAATATTAAGAGAATCTGCAGCTTGTTCAAGCACAGGAGGTCAGAATCCAGAGCAGGGTTGGCGGCCCTGAAATTGCATTTGGAATCTGATGTTAAGAGGGAAGTTGTAAAATAGTGTTTGTTTTGTATGATCATTTTTGTAAATGCTCTGTTTAACCAACTTATAATTTTGGGTAGAGGACTAGATGGGTTTTTGCTCAATAAGTTCTCTGTCCTATAGGTTAAAATTATCGCATGATTATATATATCCTTGTCAGCAATATGGCCGACAAGAAAAAAGCCATAAAAATGGTTCAGATTTTGGTATGTTATAAATTAAATTAATCATTCCAAATTCTCTGTTTCTCTTTAATTTTTGTTTGACCAACTGAATTTGTTGTTTTTTTAAATGTGAACTTTTTCCCATATAACCTCCCACCCTAGGTTAAAGGATTGTAGCTCAATGAGAGCACGTATCTTACAAGTATAAAGGTGGCAGTTTGATTCTGCCCACTTTTATGTATTGTGTCAGTCACCATGATCACTGGAATCAAGGAGAAAGCTGTAAAATAAAATGGTTCAGATTTTGTTTGGTATGTTATATATAAATTAATCATTTTCCCAAATTTTCTGTCTCTTTAATTTTTATTTGACCAATTGAATTTGTTATTTGAATGAGGTAGGTTATTGGTGAGTTGGTGTGTCTAAATTCAGGGAAAATCCAAGATAGCAACCCAGGTTGCAACCTTCCGAGTTGGAGAATTTTGAACCAGTTGCAGGTGCCAACTTCAACTTTATTCTAGAGGGGTATAACACAATGCAAGCATCACACAAATGCTGATATTCATCAATGATCAATGCCCATATGGCAACAACAAACCTGGTCTGAGAGGAAGATAGGGAAAAGTTTTGTCCAAAGCCTTCCAACTTGTTCAAGTCACTTTCACCTGTGGAATAAAATCCATGGTGCTGAATTGATGCTTTGCACAGCGCTTGCTTGTTTGTTCTAGGAAAATTTTAATTAAATCTGACACCTATGATCAACGTCAGATTTATTATTCATAAGAAACCATAATTGATAATCAGGAAAAATAATTTATTTTTGTGAACCCCAGGGATCTGGGTAGACACGCATTATTAAAGCTTTGTTACTACCTGGGTGATGCAATTGTTTGTTATGTCAATGATGATATCAAATGTATCACATAATAATCATGAACATCATGAATATTTGATGGATGGAGGCATTCACATATATGAGGAAAGGATTAAATAACAACAAAAGGCTAAGTCATGTTTATTTTATCCAACCAAGATATGTAATTAATTATATTTAAAAGTAATTATTTTATTCCACTCTTGCAATGAAAGGTATTATTCTGAAATCATTTGTTTATTTAGCATTAATGATTGAATCAATCACACAGGTGGTAGTCAATTTAAATGGCATTCATTTTTTTAAATGAAATGATATTATTTTAAATGTATAAAATTTTTTTAAAAGATGTTTTTATAATAATGATTTTTAATATTGTAAAATCTTTTTTGATAAATGTAAATCATTATTAATATTAATAAAAAAATCAGAAACATGAAATTTTTGCACATAATTATTTTTTGTGGGGCCATTGACCAAATTTTTCAATTTCTCTTCATAAATAATTGAACAACCATATTTTTTAAATCATTTACTTAAACCTATTCCACTGATTCATCTAAGATTAATTCCATTCATATACTTCAATTTTAAACCAATTATAAAAAAACTTACAAAGTGAACATAAAAATTATAAAATTATATATAGGGTTATAGGTATATGAAAAGTAATAATAAAAGTAACAATTATAATGGTTCTAATGAATATGAAAAAGCAATTGATTTTTTAGAAAAAGGTTGTAGATGTGGTTGCTCCTCAAAAATTCCCAAAGAAGAATTTGCAGAATTAAGGGAATCCTTTCAAGCTCTTTCTAAGCCAGAACAAGACATATTTCTAATGTCACAAATTAAAGCAATGGATGGGGGGTCAATAAGCACTAGTAGACACCTTAAAAAGAAAATTAGATCCAATAAAAAAACTTTCTACCATTGGGATCAAAATACACTTCTTTGTCAAGAAACTTATCTCAATATGTTAGGAATTGGTAGGACTTATTTTGAAAATATTAGAAATCATCTGATAAACAATGGTCTTCTGCCAAGAATTCATGGTAATATTAAAAGAATGCCTCAATGGGAAACTAAAATGGTGATTGATAAAAATATTGCAGAAATAGTAAAAAATTTTCTAAAAAATTATGCAGAAGTCCATGGATTACCAAGTCCAGGAAGAAGTATCAATAGAATAACTCAATCAATTGTATTCTTACCAGCTGAAATGAGTTATAAATCAGTCCACAGAGACTTTTTGGCTGGTTTAGAAGAAGATAACAAATTAAAATCCTTAAAATATGATGCCTTCAGAAAATTATGACATCAATTGACACCAGAAATTCAAATTATGAGTCCAAGAACTGACTTGTATGATACTTGTCAACATTTTAGAGATGGTTTACATTATAATGCTCGCCAAGAGGAAGAAGCTAAAGATTTGCTCAAAAGATTTAAAGAACATCTATCTAAGGCAAGATTAGAAAGAAATTATTATAATAAAAATACCAAATTAGCAGAAGAACAAAGAAAACTAGTTGATCAACATTGTTCCAAGAGTAAAACACAATATTGTGGTATTGATGTCACTGCTCATTATAGTTATGTTTGAGCCCAAAGTGTTCATGTACCACATTTAGATCAACAAGTAAGTAAAATTTATTATCTTAGTCCATGTAAAGTTCATTTATTTGGTA